TTAACCCCATTAGGGCTGTGCTTCACCTTTGGGTTGTGAAGAACTAGAATCTCTAACAAAGCAGATCCCCCAGCCCATCTTGCACTTCCACTGTGAACCCTTGGGGATGTGCCCCTTCACAGTTTGTGAAGAAGAAATTTATGGGGCGCTCACAAGCAGAGGGGATGGTTCACTCCTATCTTCTCAAACCTTTGTCTATGTGTTTTGCTCCATCACTGTCCATTCACCACATCCTCAAATTTGAAAAATCACTGCATATTTACCATGCAGCTGGAAGCCAAAAATACATGGAGAGAAATTGGGTTGAGAAATAGGGTTGAGCCACTGTTGATCCATGTAGTCCATCTCTGGAAAGGAGGTCTCATTCCATCTGACAAGCTGGCTACTTTCTAAATGCAAATTTAAGAAGCATTAGAATCTGAGTATGAAAGCAAGAGGCCTGAGGAAGCAGGACAGACTGGACTTTACACCTGCCTGTCATAGCTCTGATGGAGAATCCTCCAGAGAGGGGAAATCCTTGGAAAGCAGCGCTGGCAGTGCCAATGGATGCCCAACTTCCCTGTAGACTGAACAGTGCTGGTGTCTTTGAAAGCCACGGTTAAGACATTTAGGGTTCCCTCCGAGCCCGCTGAGCTCAATTCTTCCAGCACACTCATTTCCCCCTGATTTATGCCCCATCCCCTGGCGAACATCTTCTAGTAAGCTCTCCAGCACCAGCATCTGTGGTCTGGTGAGAAGGTGACATCTCCTCCTCACGCTGTGCAGTACAGGAATACAGCCCATTGCTCTGCCTCCCAGGGGCTCTTTTTGTATTATGGTGCTCGGTGGTTTGAAGTTAACAAGTTAACCTTTCCAATCACCTAGTAACTGACTTTCACAGATAATGTGATGGAAGGCTCTTGCCCTTGGTGGAATGCAAGATACAGAAGTCAAAATTTCACTGTCCCAGTAAGTCAGGAGTGATGAAGAAAACATAGGTCCCCAGGCCTGTGCCACAGATACCACCCCACGATGCTCCACAGAGGGCGAGGAGTCCCAGATGTAGTTCTCAGGTCCCAACAGGCACACAGGGAAGCAGGCAAATGCACTGCTGATGTCATCTAGCCTAATCCACTCCCACCTCTGCCACGCTGTCCGGACACTGCAGCAGCAGTGAAAACCACTGGGCTCAAAGAAAGTCCTTCAGTCTGGCATGTGGCTCAGTACTGCTCCTTCAAGGAGCCTAAGTGAGGTGACAAACTGCCCCACAACTTTCATGACCCAGCTGCAACCTGGACAGGGTCAGAGTGGTCTCCAGGCTACATGTGTGGGCACCTGGGCCCCAGTGTGATGGTGCTGGAACCCTGAGGAGACAGGTCCTGGTGGAAGGTAGCTTCCTTATCGGCCACATGATCTGTCCTTGACATGCAACTTTCTGCCATCGTGGTGTCTGAGGTGATATAGCCTTGGGCATGGGCACTGGAGCCAATGCCATGCTGTCTGCACCTTTAGCCTTCAGCAGGAGCATAAAAAAACCTCTCTTCTTCATAACTACTTAGCCTCAGGTATTTCATTACAGTGTCACAAAGGGAGTCTGAGGTGTTTTTCAGGTTCCTGGGATGTTGCTGACTGACACTCAGCATGTCCCTGGGGTGGGAAGGCTGTGCTGCTGAGGTGCCTTTTCCATCTGTATCCCTCCATCCTGTGCAGGACAGCAGGAAAGGCAGAGGCTGTTTCCTTTCCATTGGACCCATGCAGCCAATCTGATTAACACTGTGAGGTGGAAGTGGTGTTGAGTCCTTTCTGGGCCTGGGTTTTAAGAGGACTGAGGCTTAGCCTTGAAAACTGGACTCCAGCCTCCAGGTGAGAAGCCTGAAGACTCTTCCTGGAAGATGGCACAGACTCAGTGGGTGAGGAGAGAGGACCCTGCTGAGCTCGCCTCCCACTGTCACATCAAGTAGTCATCAGGGATCTTCTAGTCCAGTCTGTCTATGCTATTCAGGATCCAGTATTAGGTCAGAGGTCACAGAAAGCAAGACGGTGACACTATACTTCCTTCCATCAAAGTTCTGAGACAGCATTTTGTAGAGCAGAAGGTGGTGAGAACTGTGAGTTCCCATGTCTGTGGTTTTACCCAGCTGTGACTTCGGAAAATGTGTAGATAACCACACACAGGGTTAAGACTTAGGGGAATCATCCACAGCAGGCACTGGATCTGTGCCCCCTTAGCCCACTGGTGCTCGGGGAAACTCCCAAGTCTGTGACTGTCAGGTATCTTCTTCTAGCACTTCCTTTCCGATCCCCTGCTGCTCACAGGAACCATCTGCTTCTGCAGAGGCGGAGGCTGCCTCTCTGCGACAGCCACTTGGTCTTCTCAGGTGTTCTCGGAGCTCTGATACTCTTCCCCGACCTTGGCTAACCTCACAAGGTGAGGCTGCCACACAGGAGAGTTTTAGACAGCTTGGGGGCCGCTGTTTTTCCTCACTTTTCTCCTATAACTGTCCCCTCTGGGCTTCACATGTCCAGTGACAGTGACCATGCTCATGACTCTCCGAACTACTTCTAATGCCAGTGCTCAAATCCATGCAAAGCTCACAGCCTATGTCCTGGCTGAAACCAGGGGCAGAAACCTCTGAAAAGGGAAGCAGCTGCCAGGAACTCAGGGACCCTCTGAACCACCAGCCTCACAGGACACGTCCCTTCCTGGAGGTGACATACGTCTGGGAAGAAGGGAAGACACTCACAAGCCCACTGGCAGAGGTCCATCAGAGCACACGATCACAGGGCAAAGAATGACAGAGATCTAGCAACTTATGTTGTAGACAAAGAGAGCTGAGACCGACCCACTGCCCACTGGGACAGCACCAGAGAATGACTGGGATGTGACCGTCAGCACAGAGAGAAACTAAGCATGCTTTGATGATGAAGGAAGGCGATGCAGGAGGAGGGATGGGGTTTGTGTGCTTGCTTGTTTGTTTGAATCACCTTATACTTTATCTGGCCGCCCTCACCCTGGCTTCTCTGCAGAGAAAGCCCTCCTCGCTGTCCCTCCCGCCACGGCTCCAGACTCTGCCCAACTTTTCCTTCTTTTGCTTCTGTGCTGCCTCTTCTGGAGGGAAAGAGGGAGGGAGGGATGGGCTATGAGAAGCCTTGGAGGTTAGGGGTAGATGTCTGCCCCGGGGCTGCCACCTCCCAGGCCAGTTTCTTGATTTTCTCGATACTCTGCCCCCCTCTATGTATGTGGAGGAAGAAGACAGCGGTATGAAAAATACAGGGCAGAACAAACTCATCAGTCCGGTCATGAGGACAGAATCCCAACACGCGCTGTGGCAGAGGCCACGTCACTGTCAGCCACCTGCTGCCCTCCCATGCCCTGAAGACTCCAGAAGATTTAAAGGTCTCCAGGCAGAAGTTCTTTCTTTTTTGTTTTTTTTTTTTGGGGGGGGGGTTAACTGGAAATTGAACCCAGTGCCTCTGATGGAGCCCTGTCCTTTTTGAGACAGGGGTTTTCGCCTGGTTGCCCAGGCTGGTCTTGAACTTGTGATCCTCCTGCCTGAGCCTCACAGCTGTGTGCCACCACACCCTACTACCAGCACAGCTTCTCAAGGACCCACCTGTATAAGTAAGAATACCCTTTCCTGAGCACAGCTACCAATCACTTACCAATTTCTTAGTAAAGAAAACGCTTTGAACTTATTCCTGAAATCTCAAGTACATCAGCAAGGCATGGCTAGTCTCTATTTTCATAATGAAGCCCGGGAATGCGCTCATCCTAATGATCCAATTCCAAATAATTAGAATCCAGAACTAGCAGTTTTGGCACACGGAAGTTAATTCCTTTCTCTTCCTCAGGTGAGCTGCTTTTTAATCATCTGATCACACAGGAAGTCATTTGTGCCTTCTTCACACTGGGTTTGGGGGTCTATTCTTCTTCAGCTCCCCCCACTGTACTCAGGGCAGCCTCATCCCTCTCATCTGCAGGCACCCTCTGTTCAACCCGTGAGACCTTGTCACCATTACTGTCACCGTCACCAGGGCTGAGGACGAGGCTCAGTGGCATAACGCTCACCTGGCAAGTATGAAGCCTGTGGCTCCATCTCCAGCACTGTGAAACACTCTGCCCCCACCAGAGCTGTTCCTCCTGCCAAGAGTACCTGCCTCTCACCCTAGTCCTGCTTAAGATTCTGCTGGAAGTCTCACCCAGATGCCAGCCCCTTGGAGAGACCCCCCACTCTGCCTCCAGGGACACTGATAATACGCTGAGCAGTGCTCCACAGGAATCACCCTGGGATCCCCTCAGAGTGGAGATCCTGAGTCCTGCTAAACCCAGGCCGGAGCCTGAGGTTCTGCGTTTCTCGAAGCTCCTCTTTGACACTGTAGCTGCTGCCAGACAGACTCCGTGGAGCTACGTGCTTTCAGGAGCATGTCTGAAACCTCCGTAACCAGGCCCTTCGTCACCTTTCAACACAGCGCTCCAGGACACTGCTAGAAGCTGAGGGAGTGGAGAACTCTGGGCTGCCTCTGTGATAGGGAACGAGGGCGTGAGGGGCTGAAAAGGGTGAGCTGGAGACAGTGGATCGGAGAGGAAGCAGAAACTAGAGAAGTTAGGGAAGAAAAGGAGTGAAAAAAGCAGAGACCACAGACAGCAGAAAGGAAGACAAGAGGAAAGGAACGGAGAAAGGAGCCGTCATGCCATGAGAAACAGGATGTCAGCTGACTTCCTCGTCAGTAGCATCTGGTCAGCGTCATTTAGTCTCCAGATGTGGGCTCTAACACTGGACCAGAGCCCTCCAGAGCTCCTGTGAGGCAGGCACAGCCTTCGACACGCACCCTTCGGCCCATCCTGAGTGAGTCGGGACACCGTTCCCACGACAGCATGAGTGAGGACCTGCATCGTGATTGTGTTGTGATTGTGGACAGAACAGCGGGGATCAGCCACAGAAACCTCAGACACAGCACACGACCTTTTATCCGAAGACCTCACACTGATCGCCTGCAAAAAGCTGCCAAATCAAAATTACCTGATACAGCTCGATCCGTTGCTCGGGTACCCTGGCTTTGGGATTCTGCAAACGAAAGACTCTGAACTCCGCTTTCACCAAATTGGAAGCATTCTTCTCCATTGCCGAAACGTCAAACTTGACGATTCTGAAGTAGGGTCTGTAGAAAGGGGGCGGGATGGCATCTGTAAAAAGTTAGGGCAATCATTGAAAATGATAAAACGCACTGTGCTGGCGCAGAAGACGCAGCATGAGACAGTCCCCCAGAAACTGTACAGGAAACGGCCACAGAATGATTCCGCTTCTGGGGCCAATGTAATATCATTCACAGTGTAACCAAAACAACAAATAAAATAAACATATGCATTCGGTTACAGAGGGAGCAGATTAATAAAGATTAGCAAACCACTTCCAACGGCATTCGAGGGCATGCAGTTAACCCTGTCCTCTGGAGGCTGACAGGGTGGTGGAGAGTCTTGGAGGGTTAGAAACTGGAACAAGTTCGTCACAGTTGAAACCTGGACAGAGCTGTCAGGGCTGCTTACACTTTTAATCAGACATGCCAAGAAAACAGCTCCTAATGGCAAGAAGCTTGCCCATGTATTTTTTTTTTTTCCTTGAAAGTCTGGCATCCAAATACTCTACTTTTCTCCATGCTCTATGTACTACATCTTTTTTGGCTACAGTAGTTTCATTTTTCTGCACGTGCGTGACCAAATTACGGGGAGGAAATCTGAATGAACAAATCTCTATCCATCAGCTGGCTGTCTAAGTTTTAACCTTAAAATTCTTTGTTTGGGATGCTACCTGTTGGTGGGTAGCCGCGGTCACCTTCGTTGCTAAGGAGAAGAAATCAGTAGAGATCCCTTCAGCTGTGATCCACGCAAAGGAGCTGCAGGTGGCACAGGACCATTCCAAGTTCATGCATTGCTTAGAGTTTTGCTGCTATTTTTAGTGACCTGGCATTGCCTTTGCATAAGCACTTGGGGTAACACCATAACTAAAAGAGCAGGGCTCCCCCACTCTGGCTTTTATACATAGTGTTTATTTCTTGGGCTCCAACATGGAACAGACATCTTGTCACGGCCATCGGTCCACAATCTGCTTCCAAAACCTCTCCCAAATTTACCTTCCCCATTCCGGGACTCCATCCAATCTGGTGACCCATTTCCTTCTACCCTTTCTTGCTCATGCAGCTTTATTACAACACGGTCATTCAGAGTTGTGCATGTTTCTTTACAAACATTTTTATGACCTTGGTGTTATGTTTGTTTATTTTGCTTTCCCCTGTGAAATTTTAAGAATCCAAAGGGCAGAGACTGTTTGCCAGGCCTTTCTTTCTCCCCGAATATTTAGGACAGGGCTGTGCACACAGGGCGCTTCCCAAATGTGTGCTGTTTGCATAGTTGGTCATCAATGAGAGTCTTAAGAGACTCAGGCATCTGGCTACTGGCAACACTAAGGTCTTATTAAATAAACAAGCCAGCCTGCTGATCCTAAAATAGAAATAAATACCTTTCGTGATTTCTTGGGAAGCCTGTGCCCCAATAACTATGCTGAAAAAAACCAAATGCCAGGAACACAGCAACGTTTCCTCAGCTTTACAGTTCTGTGGTTCTTCCGTGGAGGCTTAACCACCCTTTTCCCAAGTATACTAGAGACTATGAACACAAATCCTCAGAGAAGAGGCGAATTCTAAGCTACCCTCTGCTCAATGCTGGTTCATAAAATGTGAATTGAGACTTTGTAGCTGGTGAACCAGAAGCCTCTGAGAAACAAACAAATAAACAACATCCCCCCCAATCCAAAGCATTCAGATTTCGAAGAAAAGCAAGTATTCATGCAGACACAGCGATAACCCACTACAAGGCCACTGTGAAATCATTGTGGGCGGGGTGGGGGGGTTCCAGGCTGTGGGACAGTCATACTAGTAGAAAGGTTTTTGGAGCCCCCTAGCATAGTAGCTACAAAAGGTAGCTACTGAGAAGAAATACGAGGTCTGACAGATAAACACAGTAGACATTTAAATTTTTAAAAACTATCACAGTAAAGGTCACATTTCCATCAAACCCACTTAAAATATTCCCCTTGCTTCAAACACACTTAGCCCATCCTTCTTGCCACTTTCTGAAGCGGTTCTGGAGGTCTTCTTTCATGAGTGTCTTTAGTGGTGCTGGCGTGGCTGCCTCAGTGTCCTCAGTACATTCAAAGCATTTACCTTTAATGGTCATCTTGTCTTTGGGGAGGAGCCAGAAGTCACACGGCGCCAGATCTGGTGAACAAGGTAGACGAGGACACGCTGTAATGTTTTCAAAGCCTGCCTTTCTGCCGGACGGCACTTAGCAGCAGCACTGAGCATCATTCTGATCACATCTTGTAAAGACATTCAAGAAAAAGGACTTCCAGGCCTGCTTCAGAGAGTGGCAAGAGCAGTGGGGGAAGTGTGTTTGGGATACGGGAGCATCTGAGGGGGTCCCTAAGTGATGTGCATTTACTGCAGTGAGTTTTTATTACTGCTATTAGTACAGGTGTGTGGGCCAGAATGATCACACTCCATGTGGGGTTGGCACACACCCGTAACACAACTGAGTTCTTGTCTCATTCCCTTTCCCTCTCCCGCCCCCTCCATCTGCTGATCTCCTTCCCCTCTGAGAAAGCTCTGTTTCCCTTCTTTTTCTTATCTAACTTTTATTTTGTTCCTTATTTCTATTTGGGGTTTTTCCTATAAAAGACACTGTGCGATATTTAAGCTCGCGCATCTAATTTATTTCACTTAACATCATGGTCTCAAGATGCCTCCATTTTCCTACCAATGACCCAAATGCACCCTTTCTTAAATTTAAAACCATCGCTATACATTCTGGTCACACCTCCTGGACCTTTTTCCTCTGGAACACACCCTGGTGAATGGAGAGTCTGGTCCCAGCCTAACCAGCTCAGCTGCAAACAGGCCTTGCCAGGCAAGCAGACAGAGCAGCCTGGCTCTGCACACCCTCTTGGCCAGGACCCGTTGCTGCAGGCCGCATTCATCTCCACTTCTCCTCTGCCTTAGGCAGCAGAAGCGTCAACACCCTCGGGAAGAGCAACCTGGAAGAGCAGGGCGAGGAGTGGGGCTTCCTGTCATTATTAAGCATAAACAGGGACCCCATTTGCACCCACAGGCTTCTTCTATTTCCACAAACACCCATCCTTCACACCCGCCTGTGCTAGTCTTATCCTTCCATCAAGTTTGTAAATAAGAGCTTTCCAAATTTATTTTTATTCTCCTTTGCGTTTATTAAACTGTGAACCACTTTTCTTCCCTTTCTGGTCTTCTGCCCATGCACACTCTTCCTTTTTATGGCTGCCTCGGTCTGTGAGGTCAATTTTGTTTCTTCTTCTCCTAAGCAAATCATGCAATGATCCCATCCTAGGCTTTTGAGCTCAGAAAGAGTTTGCAAATATTTACAGGAGGAGCCCTAGGGGAATCAGACTGTTCCTCTGGGCTCCCCTGAGCTCTCAGCAGGCAACACCCCTCCCTGCTTCCAGAGCTTGGAGAGCCACTTAGCTCATCTCTGTTCCAAAGGCCACAGAGCCAGTCAGTATCCGGGCTGCTGCTCCCATAAATGTACCTCACCAGAGATGGCTCCTGTCCCATCACCTTGGGAAAGCGACCTGGCCGCCCCTACCCCAGCACACAGGAGTGCAGACTGAAACTATTCACCAGAGAGCTACTGCGGCCAGGGGACAGTCCCTCTGTGCCCTGCTATCATTTGTTATGGATCAGAAGGCCCCTGCCTGCCTAAAGGAGTTGAGGGATTTGGCAAATGTTTTCTCATTTGAGAAAAGCAAGGTCGCTGTCTTGCTGTCGCTCACCAAGACCCAACCTGTGGCTGTCCCCTAAGTCACACGCACTGTAGGGTGCCAGACAGCAGGGCAGGTGTGGAATGGCTGTGCTGCCCCAGTGATCCACCCACTCAGACTTGGAGGGATGGAGCTTTTTCCTCTGCTCCCTCCAAGACTCATTTCCCCCTCTGGAACAGGAGTCCTCTCTCAAGTCCTCGGTAATCCTCGCCCCAGCTCCCAGTGCCCTGCCAGGTGCTCAGATCCCTGTGCCTGACCTCTGCCAACTCAGCCACTTGCACACTCTGGCCCCGGGCCTTCCTTCCCACTTCTGACCCACTTTTTCAGTTAGTCCAATCCACGTCTTCCGCCCTGAGTTTCACACCAGTAGGCGAGGCTGGGCCTCCTCCCACGCTGCTCCAGGACCTTGCATCACACAGCAAGGCCCTCCCCCTACAGCCTTGGCTGTGCATCCCTGTTCCATCAAAGTCAGAAAAAGAGAGTGGGACATAAATCTAATCTGTCATGAGTTTCCAAAGCAACAGTGCTCAGGAAGCCTGCCTGGGGCACATAACCACAGACCAGGTCACTGTGACCGGAGTAGGAGCCCGGGATCCCCACCTTCTGAAAGACTTCACACTTGAGTTTCATGACCTGGGGTCACAGTCCTGAAGCCTTAATCTTTTTAACTTTTGAATTCATGTTTTGCCAATGAAGATTTACAGCACAATGGAGTCAGTGTGAGGGGCTTGGAAACTCAGCTGTGCTGCTGACCTACCTCCCAGGATGCTCTGTCTCCTGGTCTGTGTCTCCATAAGTCCCCAGCCTCTTCTGATCCACCCAGTGATCACTGTCACCTCCACACTCTGGAAGGCTGGGATCAGGCACACAACCCATACACTTCCAGCAGTATACATTACCACATGTGCCCACCCACAGTTGACCGTGCCTCCAGGGGCAGGTCAAGAGAGGTCACCCTCAACAATCTTCCTCTGAGAACCAAGCCTACCCCAGCACAGAGAGCACAATGCCACCAGCTGAGCTGAGTAATGGAGCCATGGGGCAGAAGATGTCTTGCTTATCCCAAGGATCATCTGTCTGGGAGCTGGTGGCCGGGGACCTTGTGGCTAGCTGGCTGCATGCTCCTGGGTATCTTATGAGAGACTAAAGTGGAGGGTACCCTGATGCCCAAAGACAGCCACTACATATTACCCACAGACAGAGGGAGAGTGGGTGGGGGAGGGGAAGAGAGAGAAACAGAACATTTTGCATTCTTGAACCTGTGACAGCACCTTCTCTTTTGAACGAAAAGCCTTGCGTTTTCATTTTGTAGAAAGGTCCTGAATATTTTGTACCTAGCCCT